AGAATTGAAGAAAAGCAGAAAACTTAGAGAGTATGAAAGAGAATTGCAGAGAGAGCAGAGGTTATGAGTTTCTGTATATTTCTTCGAATGAATACTACAAGATTCTTACACACTTATATAGCTCAATGGCTGCCTTATCTCTTAAGCTACCAGTACTAACAGCTCTAACTAATTTTACCGCCAATTCTAACCAACTTCCAAATATACTAACTGCCTCACTTCAGCACCACCTTTTTTACCATACTACCCTTCTTATTCGTCAATACTGGTCAATACAAACTACAAGGACTTCACAACTAGATTTTCTTTAATTACCCTTTAATAAATAAATTAATTAAGTCGTTAGCAAATTAAAACTCTGAGTAAATTAGAGTCATTGGTGGACTGGCCGGGGTTGTGCAGGTGGTTGAGTTCATGGTGAAATTTTTAGTTGTCATGGGAACACGGGTGGTACACCACGCGTTTTTATGTAAGTGGTGAAAATTTTTATTTTTTAAGTTATTAACTTTTTAATACACATATCCCACCATTTATATAAAAACACGTATTGGACCACTCCGTATAACAATCATACTGAAAATTTATTCATTTAGTCTATCATCTTATTCGAAAGTATTTTATTTAATCGCCAATTGGTCCTTTTGCGTCTTGGGATATATATACCGGATGAATTTTGGTTTTGGGATTCGAACTTGAGAGAAGTGTTGTTTTAGTTTTCTGAGAAAGAAAACTAGAGAAGTAGAAAGACAAAGAGTGCCACCCGTGAAGCTGAAGAGTCGAGAAGAGGAGGAATACCCTCGACAAATTTTTAGTTGTGACGGAAACACAAGTGGTACATTATGTGTTTTTATGTAAGTGGTGGAAAATTTTATTTTTTAGGTTATTGACTTTTTAGCACATATATTCTATCATTTATATAACGACGTGGTGTACCACTCCGTGTGACAATCACACTATAAAATCTCTCGAATACCCTCATAGGCAACACGCGTATATCAAAATGAAAGTATACAAACCAAGCAGGAGCAAAATCGGCAGCATACTCAATGAACAGAAAATCCCAACATTTTCAAAAGCTTTTCACTTTTCAACGAAGTGGCAGAGAAAGGTCAAAATTTTTAAAAATAGAATCAAAAGGGAAAATAGAAAATCCCAACATTCAATCTCCCAAAAAAAAAAGAAAAAAAAAAGGACAAGTAAATGAGAAGAAAATACATAACAAGGTTGGTTCCATGGTCTTGTACACAAGCGTCTTCGGATCTAGAGTGCAAGGCTGTGAAAAGCTCTGACTTTCAACGTCATCATACACACCTAAATCACAGTATAAAAACTCTTTGCGCTAACCTATACTTCATGATCATGATCATAGTTGAAATATACGCAATTCGACCGACACAGCTCAATGTCTAGTGTCTACTACACCGCTGTTTCAAGGTAGTTTTATACTTGTGCAGCTGCATTTGCTCGTTTTAATCTTCCTTGAAAATAAATGTGGCAAGAACAATTTTAAAATTACTCTTAACAGCAAATTTTAATTAAAGGGTCAATAATCGTATTATCATAACATTAGTACATTCTACAATTGCATTTGTAACACGCGTACTGCCCATTCCTTTTCAAAAGCAATTGTTACTTGAAGTTATTAGATATGACTCGAGTGTTGTTAATTAGACTGGTCGAACCTGGACAGATGGTCCTTGTTCACGCTGCCGGTGGAGTTGGATCCCATTTATGCCTGTGAACTAATGCCATTGGTGCCACTGTCATAGGAACCGTATCAACTCAAGAGAAGCCAGGTCAAGCCAAGGAGGATGGATGCCGCCATGTCATAATCTATAAGGAAGAGGACTTTTTCGCTTGTGTGAAAGAAATAACTTTCGACAATGGCGTTGATGTTGTCTATGATGGCGTAGGGAAGGATACGTTTGAGGTATAAGTTTTACTTTTCTTATAATCTCCGTAAGTGTGTCATGATTTACTCAAATGTTGCTGCATATATATGCTTGACCAACTCCAAAATCGACACAAGTGACTGCTAACTCAGTTGGTTAAGGGCATTCGACATTATCTGATACATAACATTTATTATGGACTACGAATTCTTACCAATAGATATCGTTTTCAGGGATCGCTGGCAACGTTGAAGACTCGTGGGCACATGGTGAGTTTTGGGTAGTCATCAGGCGAGCCAGATCCGGTTCCCTTACAAGTGAATTCAACACGCCATTTCTAATAATTCGCTTGATTAAGATTCCAATACTCTATTGAAAGAATTTAAGATGGGTTTGTAAAGACTGATTGCATAAGCTCAACTCAATTGATGATGAGTGAGGTTTTGACTTCATTATATAGAGATTACAAGAAAAGTCTGTTACAGTATAAACGTATAACGGATTACAAGTGAATTCAAATTACAAATATAAACTGATAGAGTCTAAGAAGAGATAGGAATGTGTTGGTTCTCTATTTGGTGAAGAGTCCTTGAGTTATCCAAACTGTGACTTTGAGATAGGAATGCATATATTGGCAGACTTGATTGACGGCAAAAACAATATCAGGTCTCGTGAAAAGAAGATATTGGAAAGCACCGACTATACTTTAAAAATTAGTGCCATCTGACAAAGGTTCTCCGTCATATATACTCAACTTACGGCCAGTTGCAGCGGGAGTGGTGAGAGGCTTTTCATCAAAAATTTTGGTCTTCTTTAAAAGGTCCATGATGTACTTGGATTGAGAAAGATACATGGCAGTGGATGTCCGTGTAATTTCCATTCCCAAAAAATAATGCAAATGACCTAGATCCTTCATAGAAAACTTTTGGCCAAGCTGTTGAATGAACCGAAATATATGTGATCGATTATTGCCCGTAACAAGGATGTAGTCGACATATATCAACAAGTAGATAACTGTGGATCCATTAAAGAAGGTGAACAGCGAAGAATCTGCTACTGAGGCCTGAAACCCAAGTTCTTCAAGATGTTGGGAGAAACATTGAAACCAGGCACGAAGTGCTTGTTCCAAACCATATAATGATTTTTGCAGTCTACAAACATGTGATGTAAACTGAGGATCCACAAAACCTGAAGGTTGTCGCATATAAACTTCTTCTGCAAAGAACCATGTACGAAAGCATTCTGAACATCAAGTTGTCGGATAGGCCAATTGTAGTGAAGTGCAATGGAGAAAATGAGTCTGATTGTTGCGTGAGTGACAACCGGTCTGAACGACTCGCTGTAATCTATACCTTCTTGCTAGTGAAAGCCATTTGCGACTAGTCAAGCCTTATATCGCTGTATGGAACCATCAGAATGCCATTTGATCCGATATACCCATTTATTTGGAAGAACATTCATGGATAGAAGAAATGGAACCAAGGACCATGTGCCAGTATGCAAAAGAGCATTAAACTCTTCTGCCATTGCCTGTCGCCATTCAGGATATTTGTTAGCCTATGTAAAACATGTAGGCTCAACCACAGCATTAGGGGCAACAAACCAAATGAGATGAGGTTTCGCTAATGCTGGAGACTCATGTAGAGTACCGGAGTTGGACTCTGCGGAACTTTCTATTCTTCCTTCACTATTGTTGTAGCACACATGATGCATTCATCCACACGCAGAGACGATGTACCGTCCCTATACTTCTGGCATTTCTTTTTTCTTCTTTCATGGCGTAAAACTTTGTTTCCGGGTCTTTTGTGCATGCAATATATGCCCTTATTAAGTTCTTTTCAGGAATTTAAACAGACCCCTGTTCTTAACCATTATGCTTAGGATGTCAAGCAACTACAGATCGATACATGTCCTTGAAAGGCTTTTCCCTATCCATATTGGTATGCTTCCGGAAAACCCATTTTCACGAAGGTCAACAACTGACAACCAGGTACAGTTCTGCAGGGAATGTGGCAATTCTCCGTACAGGTGATTATTGCGCAAGTCCAGTGATTCCAGCCCTTGTAAGTATCCCATGGACATTGGGACATTCCCAGTTAGGTTGTTGTTTTCTAAATGCAGGAATATCAAGGATTGCCAACTCATCCAACAATCGGGTACTTTTCCAGTTAGGTTGTTGTTCCCGAGATGAAGAACAAAAAGTTGCTTTGTTTCATCCGGCCTATCACAGAAGAAGTGGAAAACAGATCCAGAAATGAAGGGTAAATTACAATTTACTTCTTTAAATTTTGGTACAATTGTAATGAAAAATTTTGGTAAAATTTTCCAGAAATGAGAGTAGCAGTCGTCGGACGGACTCTTGGAATCTTGGACAAAAGTTTCATAGATGATAAGATGGATTAAACTAAGCGGCTATTAGTCCACATCTATAGAGACACAAGTTAATTTAATAACCCACTTGGAATTGAGAATCGTCGCTCCTTCAAATACATTGTATTAATATAGATGAAAAATTAATTTTTTTGATGGATATGATATTTTTACTGGGATATAATACGCCCACCTAAGTTGGGCGTCAAACAGGTAAATGTGCAAGTGAAACTAAAAAGGGTAAATTACAATTTACTTCTTTAAATTTTGGTACAATTGTAACGAAAATTTTTTCATTGTGATCTAAAAATTGAGTTGTACACTACGTGTTTTTATATAAGTGGTGAAAATTTTATTTTTTAAATTATTATTTTTTTAACATGTATTCTATTATTTATTTATTGACACGTGATGTACCATCCTATGTTCCAGTCACATTGAAAAATCTCTCCAATTGTAACCTCGTACAACATTTCTATAATAACATTTCAATTTCATACATTTGGTTATAACTAGCAAAAATTGCCCACGCGATGCTGCGGGTTTTCAAAGCAATTAAATGATACTGTTGCTTGTATACACACAAAAGATCAGACTTCTATTTACATGCAAAAAAGATTAGACCAACAAAGTTCTTGTGGCTTTGGATCAACAATCGTACCACCATACAAAAGATTATGAAACATTGTTCGATTTACATGCAATTTTTCTATTTACCTTCAGAAAATTAGAATGATAATATTCAAAGATCATATGCCAGCTTGAAATTGAAAGACTAAACTCTGAATTCAAAACTATTTACATGTGGAATAATTTGAAATGCCTCAAAACATTATCATGATCCAATTGTATATGAAAGACTATCCAGCTACTGCTAAGAAGTAGAGAGTCAATGATCCTTCACTATTCATGGCAAGGCACACCAGATACAACTCATAAAACTCCAACCGATAAGAGCAAAAACGACTCAGTTTGTGTAATTGGTAAAACCATAAACAAAATCCATGCCATTTCAACATCATCAAGTTCCATACCATAAACAAATTCCATACCATTTCACCAGCAACACCAGGAACTGGGAACAGTCCTTCGTACAAGTCGTGGCTAAGACTAACGACCCTTCGTAGCTAGCTAGGCTTATCAAACAAGTAAATGATTTAATCCACAACTCTAACAATCATTTGCTCTTCTAATATCTCAAAATTCATATCAACCGAGGTGCACAACACTTAGACTTGAGAGATTTCCAAGTTCACAAGGAATTATTCACTCAAACTGATCAGAAAGTAAAACAGATCTCTTTAAGTGAGTAAAAATGCTATGTAATAACCCCCAGTCTGCACGGAACATTCCGTTAGAGTGAAAAAGTTAGATCTTAGCCCAAGATAGTGGCAAACTGGCAATAACAAAGTAGCATAGAAAGGAACATCAAATTGCCTTCTGAAGGCAAATGTGCATTCATGGCAATAAATCCAATATCGTGGACGGCAGAAGTATTAGGTCATAAGGATTTAGCCCGTGCATTCTGAGACGACCACAATTAGCCACAGAATGATTGTCAAACCAGCAATAAGGATGCAAGCTATTTCAAGAAATGGACCTTCTCGAGTAATCAGAATCTCCACGATCAGCCCCAACACACCAACTATATTACACCCCAGAATGTGAATCAACCTACAATATGCCCCCGAAAAGAATTGAGTTTGGATTAAAGCTGCTCTTTTAAGCAACGTTATTTCAAATGTTTATATTTGGCTACTGCTACATAATTTGATGACCGAAGAAAATGTTTATACTTGATAATCATATTCAAGTATAATAGCTGATCCAAAAAGAGGTGGTTCATGGTGAACCCGAGTGAGAAAGAAAATGTTTAATCAAAGAGACTAGAAACTCATAACCACATAAATAACAATCTTATTATTAACATGGATGGATGTAATATCATTTATTATGTTTTTAGACACAAATCATAAGACTATATATTTCTAGTTTCATTTCACCTGTAATTTATAACCTGCCCCCTTCCAGTTTAAACTTTAAAGGATGCTTTTCTTTAATCCTGGTTCTTGACAATCAGTGAAGAGTAATAACACATACAGACATTAAACTTGAAACCTTTTTCCAAGCAGATGCTACACCTACAAAAAGATATTAAGCTTAAAGACCTTAGTATCCAGCTTTAGATAATTGGCAAGTATCTGCTAACCTTCCCTTATATGCTACAAATTCAGACTTAGCTTAGGAGCAATGGAATTTGATTAGAATTATTCAGAGCACAAAAATATGTGTAAACACATACAAATTTTTTTGAGCCGCACGATATTGGAGAAAATTCATCTGGTGGTTCACCAACTGAAAGCGACGACGATCCAAAATCAAGGGGGCCAGGTGGCCTTTCTCGAGGTTTAATTCACAGCTCAGCCCTTCATCAAAAAGTGAAAGATCAAAATTACTTTTACAGTAAGAGCAATACCAGAAGATGTAATCTAAATTATTTATATTTGGTTCCCCTGAAATCCTTTTGACTGCTTCAACATACTATATGCAGACAGAACCAGAACCAAGTCCAGACTCACTCGTAATAGGTCTCCTCATCCACAACAATATCCCAGCTTTCCCCTGTCGTGCTTTTCCCATATTTGTGCACCTTACTGCAAAGAGAGAGCAAGTTAACTTGTCAAAGAAAAACCGGAACAATAGATGCCAATGCAGTTCAGCAAGTTTATTTCCTTTCGTACCCATTTCCAAAGTGCTCTTCTCCCCATGTCCTTCACCAACCTAGACATGAGAGAACAAAAACAGAGTTGCATAAGATAAAATTATTGAAAGAAAAAGTTCACTTCTGTTGTAACGAATCGACATTAGAATCAAGCAACCAAGTTATGAAATACGAATTTAAAATGTAACTATTTACCGTGTCTGAAATGAATCTGTGAAATCAAATAGTTAAACCCTAAACAGCACCACTGCAAATAGCATAAGAAAATTGAAATTAACACTAAAGAAATTGGGAAAGAAGAATATGAAAAGGGAATACCTTTCGGCCCTTTTGAGTTATTGGAAAAAAACCCAACAGAGCAAAAGATAAAATAAATTTTCAACTTGTAAGATTCATACGCGAACAGATTGGCGGTCAAAAGCATTTCAAAACTCAGAGCCATCAAGCTTTTTGATCTGCATGGAAATTATTTATGAAGTTTGAGATTCTTATAGATGCTTCAGACACATCGACATATTGAAAAAGCAATATTCAACAACCTAGTACCCATGCTCCATAGAAGGTTACAGAAAATATGAATGTCTGGACTCTGGAGTGAGAAAGTAAAAGGACTTACCGCGTACTTCGTATCTTCTAAGTTTGTGTAGTCTACAATCCCTGTTGTTCCTACAAAAAAGGCATTGGACAAAAGCTAAGTCAATCGAAATTCTGATGTCTCATGTGCTAGGTCTTAGGATTAAGCTATTGAACTAACACTATATGAAATAGCAGTGTATATCCCAAAAACAGTCTGAAATCTGGTTGATAATCGAAGAGTTCGAAGGGATTTACCTTTGGATTCTTCGGCTTTCAGATGGAGTTTGCTTATGTGTGGGAGAGAGAGGTGGAGCAGCTAGGGTTTGAGTATGGAAGAGATGAAAAATGGAGAGAGCACCTGTTTTGGCTGAAGCAACGGCTCACACAATCTGGACAAAAATGCAAATGTCTTAAAAGGGGAAATTATAAAAAGAAACCTCAGCAACTGAATTCAAAGAAACATTCTGACATTGTAAATAACATTTCACAGGGAAAAAAAAAAAACCTAAACTAATTACACTTGGATTACAATGTTATCATTTAACAATAGGAATTCCCATACCGCAGCAGAAGATCCTGCATCTGCAAAGGATCCTTTAAAACCTTTTTTCTTGAACAACCCCGCACTGCAACACTTCCAGGCAAGGTAAACCAACAGCACCCTCATGCTGAGCTCTCCTGTGCATATAGACCCCTTGTAAGTAATCTTAATCAGTCAGTTATCAACTTATCATGAATATACAACTTATATTAATTTTCTACAATATCCAACACACAAATATAACAGAAGAGGAAACTTTTACTTAAGCAGCATAAAATGATATCCTCTGCATTTCATTCCAAAATCCATCACTCTTATGTCTTTGCCTGCACAGTTTTTGCTCCAACATAGCCTGCCATGATGATAGCAATATCAATAATTAAGACATAAAGAAAAGGCTATCCTAGCTAGCTATTATCGTTGGTGTAAACCAACAGCACCATAAGTAAAGTAGCAGACCAAAATTTTTTTTAGAGTTGATGTCTTAACATGTTTAAGTAGCAAAAAGATTACAACACATTGGATGTGTTAACAGATCCATAAGCTGATGACTCCCTCTCTGGTTTACCGGATCATTCTTAATGTATTCAACAATGCAGCAGCAATTAAAAGTCCTTGGAAAATACCAAGCTACTATAAAGACATGACGAAAACTATATCTCACCTTACCCCCTTGTTGGCATAGACAGCATATCCGTCCTTGTTGTTCGGGGTGAATCAAAATCCTGAACTCAATTATCATCATCGTCGAGAATGTCTTTGGCTTTTCTAGCAAGAACACCCCAAAACCCATGTTTGGATTCATTAACATTCTTCAATGACGTATACTCGAATCAGATACAACAAAACGCACAAGTCACAAATGAAACAGCACAAAACACACAACCCAAAAATTAAATGAAGAATTCTTTATAACATGCATGTTGATAATACCATGAAAAATTCCACTTCATTATACATGCCTATTGTTTTCTCTGTCCAAATATGAAATTGCCATCATTTTTTTTGAAAGCACAAACCAAAATCACTTCTCAAAGAGATCATACACAGAAGAGAGTGAAAGCTTACCCAAAGCCAATTTCATGTTGTTCACTCCTTCTTCTTCTTCTTTTGGACCCAACAATCTGTGGGTTTGATTGCAGCATAGTGATTTAGTTTAAAATTTCAACATTGATTATATATATATATATATATAAGTGGATAATCCTAAACACTTCAATTAAATCTCAAATTGCAAATTACACTTCAATCTGACTAAAACTACACAAAGGAAAAAACAAAGACAGAAAAATGTTCAAACCAATCTAGAAGCCAAAATGATCCCCAACATCAGTAAATTAACAATAAAAATCTAAACCCATATAAATTCACAGGAAAATCAAGCGTGAAAAAAATTTTGGATCAAAAATTATCAGGTACAAAAGGATAAATTACAAATCCAAAAGAAAAAAAATCACAAACAAACTCAAACTTCAAATCAGTGAAGACCGTACCTAGAAAAGGGGTCGCCGCTCTTGCCAACATCGGTGCTATCGCCGTCTAGACCCTCAACATGCTTCCGGCCGTACTCGATGACCTTGGTTGTGGAATTCTCCAGCAATTCTGGCAGAATTGGTTGTGCCTGTTTGCTCGCCGCAAGGTTTTTTGCTGTGAATGAAGGAAAAATTTATAAGGTCAAAGAGAAACATGATAGCCACGGAAAAGAGTGCGAAAGAGTGGTGCAAAAAGACTGGCCGACAGTTTTTCATGACCGGCAAAACATACACCCAAGAGAAACAAGTATAGTTATTAAGATTTAAACATGAAAGCATTATTCGCGAGGAAAAATTCATCATCAATATCAACTTAAAGCTGAATCATAAAGAATTAAGAATCAAATGAAAGAGCCACAACTAAATCACATTCCAAGAACAGAAGGTTATATGAACGAACACAAACCAATTACAGAACTCACACTCATTGAACACAAATTTCAGCAAATACCCAGAACAAATAGCAATAACTTAACCATAACCCAGACCCAAATCACAAAAAGCGGCAAATATAACCTCAATCCCACTTAAATCCAAACAACCAGATGACCCAATCTCTCAAATATCACCACCTAATGATCAAGGCAGCTACAAAACAGAAAACAAAAATGTGAGTTCTAATTGAATTCATTTACATATCCCTACACCATTAAGACTTAGTAATAAATTTATATTCCTGTATTCCATAAAGAAAAGAAACTCGTCATACAGAACAATTATAGGTACATAATGATTTGATAAGATAACACTTAAACTGTGCAAGACCTTGCTATTGCACCAGCATGGTAGCAAGGCGTAAATTATTTTAATCAGGTACATACCAACTGGTTGTGAATTTTCTGACTGCAGGTTGTTGAAATACCAGCCACAACAATCTTAACATCAACCTCGTCCTGCAAGGAAATGAAGTTAAACGTAAAACAGATCATTCTGGGAACACATGTAACCTAAAAAATGTTATGCATTAAACTTGTGCTTCCAAGCGTATATTATATATGACTTGTCCTGGATGTTCTTCTTATATTAAAGAAACCATGATTATTGTTGCGTATACCTTAAGCTTTGATAGTAGCATAGATACAGCCCGATAAGCAGGGTCTTCTGTGCTTTGCACGATAAACGTAAACTCTAAGGGACCACCATAGAGAGAAGTGACCTGTTTTCGTTAATTAAACAAAATAGTTCAGACCATATTGGAAGAAAACCTTGGATACAAATTCAACCTATTAAATCAGTTAGCAGAAGGATTTTGAACACTTCACCAGATAAGACGTCCCTACAGTGCAAATACAGAAATTTAGATATGTCCATCAAAAGAAAATATAGTTTAACTATGTTAATCTAACATCACAAAGATATTGAGTTTCCAAGTCTCAGAGCCAATAGAGTGTAATTTGAACTTCTTATGAAGCAAAACCTAATTTTTCAACTCGAAAATAATACAAAAACATGATTGGCTTTGACCACTCTCATTCCAAATGTTCTAGCGTAGCCCCCTGACTCAAGGGCTCACCAAATGGGTTTTCGATTTCTGTATGAAATTAGAAGCAGGATTCATATGTCCCCTTCCTTGCACAGAACCTAAATATGATCTATGAAATGCCGACAAGCAATACTTCGAATCGAAGAATTTCGCAATCCCAGAAGCCGAACTGAAATGCCGGAAAGCAATTCATCCCAGACGCGACCCCAAATAACAAACCCAACAAAAAGAAAAATTTCAAGTGAATTTCTCGGCAACCAAACGGACCCGGATCTGAACGAAACATAAAATGGCGAAAAAAAATCTAAATTTTAAGGGAAAAAAAACAAACCTGGATCTGAACGAAGACCGCTAGCGAGCTGCAGAACGCTTTCTCCCCCCCCATCTCTCTCTCCTCCTCTGTGTAAGCCGCATGCCTTCCCCTCACCAAATCCCACAATGAGCGGTCGATCCCACCGAATACAATCCTAACTTGTCCCAAACCCAAACTGACAACAATGCCCACCCAACTTTTACCCCCAACCGTGCAACGTTAACCCTAAACGGGCATTCCCGTCATTCGAACCAATGGCAGCTTCGTAAAAAAGCTGAAATATCCAAACCTACTGGTTTGGTACTGAACTCCTTTTATAAAAAAATTGAGTTCAAAAATGTGTTTGATGAACATTTAAAAATAGCTTATTTTCACAGTTTTAAATAAATAAAAAAAAAACTGAAAACGTGAAGTAGCAAAAATGAGTTTATTCTCTCAGCACAGCAGAAACAGTTTTTTTTCCAAAGCACAGCAATACCAAACCAGAAGCATGATCATAATTAAACTGAAATTCAGACCCAAACATATAGGGCACTCTGAAAAGTAGTGGCCTGGTCTTAAATAGAATAACATTCGGGTTCAAACACTGTTCATTTAAACAGTGCCAATTTCAAATCTTACTTTAGACTAAAGTAATTTATAAAGAATTGGCTTCTCCGCACGCACATTAAGCATTTTTGCATCACGGACACTACACGTCCCTAAAGGTATATTAAGATAGTTTTTCTTCCATTGTAATTGTCAAGATATATTTTAAATGTATTGTGTAAAGATTAACTTTTTCTTTACCATGCACGTTCTAAAAGTTGTCATGTTTTTCGTTTTCACTTTGCGTAAAGTAATGATTTAAATGTTATTCATGCAATTGTCAAACAACATGAGATTTTAAATGCAAGTTCTTACCTAAAGTCCATGAACAATAGCAAGTAGCATCCACTTTCCAACACTTATAAACATAATTAAAATTTACAAAAATATTAATAGGTCGAATTCCTGGATTAGAGGAACATAACAAAATAAAAAAGACAAAGTAAAACAAAAAGTTTAATTACCAAAAACGTAAAATAACCAAGAGAAAGAATGGAGCAAATTCCCTCACAAATTGCACACCAATTGATTGTTTGCAAGAACATTTCTCTCTCTCCCTCTCTCCCTCTCTCTCTCTCTCTCTCTCTCTCTCCCCCTCTCCCTCTCCCTCTCTCTCTCTCTCTCTCTCTCCCCCTCTCCCTCTCTCTCTCTCCCCCTCTCCCTCTCTCTCTCTATCTGATTGAGGCAAAACCCAAAATGGAAAACCTAATAACAGTAAAATACCAATCAAACATTGAAGAGAAAGGAGGAGAGACATAGGGAGAATTCCCAACTGTAGGAGTGTGCTTGAAATGTTGTAAAACCCTAAAATTGGTTTAGTTTAAAGTTTAAGTTCATATGAGTAGAAAAGCAAATGAGAAAGAACACACATATGAATAAAATTAGATATCTATAAACCTTTACCATCCTGACCACTGTGAAAAATCTTCATTATAGCCGAAGTCATAGAAAAAATACGACTCTTCAATACTTTTTTAACAATAATTAAGGGCTATGGTCATAAGGAAAATTAGAATGTTCGAAAGACAATATACTTGTAGGCTTGTAGCAATTAAAAGATTAAACAATTAAGTGGAGAATTACCTGTTAGAATTGAAAAATTATTACAAAAAGTTTGAAAATTGCCTAGTTAGATATTGCGAGTTAACATCGTTGTTTCTTTGCAAATACCACTGCTGACCTTATTCAAGAACCATTTTAACATAATAGGTTCTATTTGGATGATTAGAGTTTTGAACCTTTTCTTTCCCCCAATTCCACATGAACTGAGTTTCATTGGTGAACAGACCTTGGTAAATATTTATAACCAACTAAAAGTGTTTTCTTTTGATTATTTTCCAATATATTTTTTAGCCAATTGACAACCCTAAAAGGTTTACTTACATACACATCAAATCTGTGTTTCATAAATATACCTAAGATGTAATGCTAGATATTTTTTTATAGTTTCTTCTGTTCTATTCTATGCTGGATAATACTGTTTTTCTGTGTATTGTAGATCATTAAAATTCTGCCATGTTTGTGAAATTGAGATTTTTAAATCGAAGAACTTAACAAAGAAAATTGTACATTTTTCTTGGATAAATAATATTATCCACATCTCATGTTATATAAAAAAAAAATTAAAGTACTCTCTCTGTGTGCGTGAATTTGAAACTTTTTATATTTTCTAGAAAGAGAGACAATGCAATTGCGTTTTATTGTTAGAGAAAGATGTGTCATTCTGGATTTGCTTAAAAATGCCTAAATAATTTGAAGTTGAAGAGTCGGATTGGTGGGAAGCAATTGAGACGCACATATCGTCTTCTAAATGGGTCAGATGCAAATCACTACCAATGAATAACTGGGTCGTCGTCTTCTTTCTTCACTTATGAGCTTTTGGGGTAAAAGGAGTCCTCTACTTCTTCTAGGATTTCGGGGCTATATTTGTGCCTTCGTCCAAGGATTTGGTATAATTCCCCTTTTTTAATTTATTTTTTTAAATTCTTGATGGATATTTCTATTGTTTTCTTCGATTATTTAATTGGATTTTGATTTTTATCTTTGTCATTTTTGTTTTCGCTTTCAATTTTTTATGTTAAAAGATGTCGTATTGTGTTTTCGTACCAAGTTATCCTTATTTGTATCTCTCACCAAAATATATACATGTAAAATCGAAGGAGACTGTAGTGTAACTCATTATAAAGTGACAAGCCCTATATACATTGATGCAATAAAATATAAACGATATCAATCCCCTGCAAATAAATGTTATTATGTTAACAAAAGTAACTTCAATTCTTAATCGTTAGTTCAATTACGTTTTTTCCATTCTATCTAGAATTTTAAATATGGAATTTCATGTGTCTTAACAAATAATTCCTGGAGTTTTATTAAATTGTTTCATCTAATGTATCTAATATTTTAATAATTGCTTATTCCTTTTGTTTGGTTAAAGTTTTGTTCCATTTGTTTTCTGTATTGCCTAGCATGTTGCTCCGTCGCATCAAAGAGGGCTTCTTTAAGCTTGGGTTTCTTGGCAGTGGCTTTCTCCATTGACCTCTACACCTGCGTCTCTCCTCGCTTTCCCACTTCCTCCGGTGCAATCTCTTTTTCTTTCTAATCTCTTTTGAGTTTCTTTCAATATGTCACTTTATATAATTTATTCTTTAATGTCAGATTTGGTGAGTTTGATTTGGGTTTGTGAATGTCTTCCTGGCTTTTCCACTTTGGATTCACATAATAAGTTCAATGGTTGTAAACAGAACAGAATACTGACTTGCGAACAAGGCAATTCAAAGCTTGAAAATTTGTATGTTATGCATGAGCTGACTAATATTTTTTTGTGCACTTTATTCATGCCTGTTGTGGATAATAGCTTGAAAATTTGTATGTATTGCATGAGTTGACTAATACTTTGTAGTGCACCTTTCTATGCAAATTATTCATGCCTGTTGTGGATAATAGTTCCAAAACCCGTAGCGAAGCACGGGCAATTTTTCTAGTTCTAACTAACTTCCAAATATACTAACTGCCTCACTTCAGTGCCACCTTTTTTACCATACTACCCTTCTTATCCGTCAATACTGGTCAATACAAACTACAAGGACTTCACAACTAGATTTTCTTTAATTACCCTTTAATAAATAAATAAATTAAGTCGTTAGCAAATTAAAACTCTGAGTAAATTAGAGTCATTGGTGGACTGCCCGGGGTTGTGCAGGTGGTTGAGTTCATGGTGAAATTTTTAGTTGTGACGGGAAAACAGATGGTACACCATGTGTTTTTATGTAAGTGGTGAAATTTTTTATTTTTTAAGTTATTAACTTTTTAATATACATATCCCATCATTTAAACTGTGTGCAAGATCTTGCTATTGCACCAGCATGGTAGCAAAGCGTAAATTATTTTTGTGTATACCCTAAGCTCTGATAGTAGCATGGTGGCCCTGAGGTCTCTCTCTCTCTCTACATATATTGTCTACGAATTGGAATTCTGGGTTGTGCTTTGATTTGTATGAGAAAAACAGAATCAGCCCAATTTAATTAAGAAGCCTCTGAGTTGTTTTTATTGTTTGTAATTTTGACTCGTTGAATTTGAGAATTGCTTCTAATCTGTGCTATGATAATTTATTTGGAAGTGAGCATGCTTGTTGATGGTTGATAAGCTTCAATTTATACTGTCTGGTAGAGAGTTTATAGTGCCATATCAAGTGCTGTTCTTTTATAATCGTTCACATAAGCCGGCAATTGGACCAGAAAACGATTTATACTCCTTTGATGCTGATTATTCGATATCCATTTCGTTAAAGTTTTGCTTTGGTTATTAGTTTATGCCAATAATTCCCAATCGTTTTTCTCACTTTGGCCATGTGATCATGTTAGGTGTTGAAATGGGAAGATGTGGAAGTAGGGGAGCCAAAGGATGGCGAGATTCGTGTGAAGAATGAGGCCATCGGGATTAATTTCATTGATGTGTACTACCGCAAAGGCCTTTATAAGGCTGCTACGCTTCCCTACACCCCAGGTTTTGTTTCATTTCATTAAGTTCACTAGTCGAATAAAATTCATTTTTGAGATTATAGAGATGCATTTCAACCAAGATTATCTTGTATCCAAATTTTATTAAAAATTTTGGGTAACCTCTCTGGTGAGTATAAATTTCGACAAATGGTTAGGAATGATTGGGATGAACTTAAAAACAAGAATGCAGAGCATGAAATCAGATAACAGTTCCCACCGATATTTTGATTGTGTATATATACATCTGAAACTTTATCGGGCACTGCAGATGTAGTTACTAGTTACCCTATTTATGTATAAACCAAAACTGATTTCAGGTGTCGAGGCTTGTGGAGTCGTGACAGCTGTGGGACCAGGTCTAACGGGCAGGCAAGTTGGAGATCTTGTAGCCTATGCTGGTCAGCAAATGGGCTCATATGCGGAAGAGCAGATCCTTCCTGCAAACAGAGCTGTGCCTGTTCCTCCTTCCATTGATCCTAAAGTTGCAGCCTCCCTCATGCTTAAGGGTACAACAGCTCAGTTTCTACTACGCCGCTGTTTCAAGGTAGTTTTACACATGTACCCGCATCTGCTTTTTTTAATCTCTCTTGAAAATAAATGTGGAATTGCAGAATGTTTTTGTAGAGCTCTTTGTTTCATACACACACTGTTCCTGTCAAGGTGAATATTTGTTACTAATAATACTGGTCACTGCCAGCAAATGTAAATCAGTAAATGAAATTCAGTGTACCGCTAAACCAATTTTAGCTATTGTCCCTGTTTCGGCAACGTAAGCTGAGTTGTGTGTAACCCTTTCATGTGCGAATCATGAGCACTCATAGAAGTTGAGAAGCTTTCTCTCTCTATTAATCTGTTCCTTTAAATATCTGATACAAGGGAAAACTGCAGAAATAAGAAAAGCATCACAGCTAAGTGTGAAAAGTGAAGTGCTTTGTTAATCTCAACATAACTTCGTTCTACAATTGCATGCCTAATGATGGCCATCGTTTTTCCTAATTTTATGAATGTTTTGAAAAATTGAAACCTTTGTTGCTTTTGTTATTAGATCTGACTCAACCTTTGTTATACAGGTCGAACCTGGACACACAGTCCTTGTTCATGCAGCAGCTGGTGGAGTTGGATCCCTTTTATGCCAGTGGGCTAATGCCCTTGGTGCGACTGTCATTGGGACTGTATCAACTAAAGAAAAGGCAGCTCAGGCCAAGGAGGATGGATGCCACCATGTCATAATATACAAGGAAGAGGACTTTGTCACTCGTGTGAAAGAAATAACATCCAACAATGGGGTTGAAGTTGTCTACGATTCTGTAGGGAAGGATACGTTTGAGGTAAGTTATACTTGTCTTATATTCATAAGCTGTCATGATTTATCCAAACTACTCAACTCCAACATTGACATCATCTAATAGATAAGTAATGTTTTCAACATTGAATTCTTATCGGGAGGTTTGTTTTCAGGGATCACTGGAAGTCTTAAAACTTCGGGGATACATGGTGAGTTTTGGGCAGTCATCAGGTGCGCCTGATCCAGTTCCGTTATCAGCTATTGCAGCGAAATCACTTTTCTTGACTCGGCCTAGCCTCTTTCATTACGCTGTAACTCGAGAGGAATTGTTAGAGGCTGCAGGAGAGGTATTTGCTAATGTTGCATCGGGTATATTGCGGGTTCGAGTGAATCACACCTACTCATTATCTGAAGCAGCACAGGCACACGCAGACCTTGAGAACAGGAAAACATCTGGATCTATTGTTCTTATACCCTAGGTCGGAAGCGAACATGTGCGAGTTGGTTTGTTCATTTCAAAAGCTTTGCGGTATGGGACGGAACATCGCCTTCCGGTTCCGAAACTTCTTGTACCTGTTGTGCTCAAGAGACATGCGATGTAATGAACCTCGATTAATTTCCATCGACATAAAAAGAGGTGATTTGTATGAACAAAAATCAGAACTTTACGAATTGAGAACAATATTTTTTTCCTTGTATTGCATATACAGTATACTACATCAAACCGTCGAGGCATGGATAAAAATCCAGCACGATATCCAATAAAATATCACATGCTTTGAACTATGCTTATGATAAGGTCGGACATTAGTTGAAAATTTTTTGGGCTGGAAAATGTGCAAGGTGAATCCAACTACGAGATATCAGATCCAAGTACATTAAACCAGGCCTCTAGTCACCAGTCCTGATGGGTCTCATAAGAAAAAGGAAACTGACAACTTACTCACCAACCCTTATGGCTCTTAGATTATTTTCTTTTATTGTCGAGTCAAATTTAAACGTTTCATCTCTCTTATCACGTGAATGCACATGTTTTTCTCGAGATTGGTAGCGTTACGAGAGTGACATGAAGTTCATGAATTATGAATCTGTGTGCCCCTGAGTTTCTATAAATTAAGGCCATGTAACCACAACATACATTCTTAGAACTTGCTAAGTTGAAATGAGAGATAATCTCTCAGAGGTCAGTGAAGATGAGTGGTAGGGAGGGCGATCTCACAATCTATGTCCATCTTCTCTTCTTCATAAAATTAAGAAGATGACATAACATGAATTCTTTCCCATGCTACTCATTTTTATTGTTGCTGAGAGTCTCTCCCTTTTCCCTTTCATGCCACCCAATTAGAGATTTTGATTTTGATTTCAAACAATTTTCATTTTCTTTTCCAATATTTGTTTTTTGATGTCTTCGTTAAGATTGATACAATTTTGATAATGTTTATAACTTCTTTTCTCTCTCTTTTAACAGGTGGTGGTTTAGCAAATTCAACTAGATTTGAAGAACTTGACCACATTTCTTAATTTTGATTCTCAAATAATTGCTACTGACACCCTTTGACTGCTGCATGGCGCTATTCACCAACACCGTCCGATGAGGAGGCCTCCTTTTTAAATCAACACCACCAAGATCTCCATCTCACTCTTCAAATTAATTGCGACCAAAATCGTAGACTACTGTTTTACCCCATATTAATTAAGTTAATTTTCCAATTGTTATATGTATGGAGGGTTTGATAAATATAAATATGTATGGAGGGGGAAATTTTGAAAAATCCTTCACCAATTTCAAATTCGCATTCCACACACCTTGTCATAGGTTTGATTTTTAACGATAGTGAATCATACGATGGTAGTCAGATGATGACTGAACTGTCTCTGCAAGTCTTTCCGACCTCCGAAGAGGTGGACTACTATAGCTTTCCCACGAGCTAATCCCCTTAAAAAAAAAAAAATCAAATTATGTAATCTATTTGAGTTTTTCACTTATTGAAATTAATTTATTTATCACCAAATTTGCGATTGGAAAATTTGGTTTATGTCGCGCAATTCAAACTTGGCCTCATCTCATAACTAGTTTTTTCTTGCTTGCCAGAAGAAGATGAACAAATCATTAATTAGATGTTCAATCTTGTTTGTTTGAAATACATACCACACTTGTTTATTCAATTGAAAGTGGAGAATTAAAAAGTTTGTGAATCCAACACTACAATGCGTAATACAAAATTAACAGGAATTAAACCAATTAATGAAAACATTAGCAAAGTGAGTCCATCAAGCCTGAGACGTTATATGTAGAATGAGTTTATTGTCACGTAAGATTTATGCGCTTAATTATATGCGTTATCATGTGTAAGTTTTTCTTTATATAACAATTTATTAATGAATAAAGATGTCACGATAACGATGAATCCGTTATATATATATATATATTGATCATTCACCCGTTTAGCATCCACACGTTGGAGGTAACCAAGAAACCAGTATAATCCTTTGCCAACAATGTTCACCATTTCACAAATGTTATGCCCAGAAAGCTGACCTTGCCACCGTTCCCTACATTGTCTTGTATTTATTGCTTTTTTTTTTATTTTCTAATTGGCATATGAATAAAGTAATAGAAATTGAATGAATCATATCCAGTTATTTCCTACCAAAAGAAATGAAGATCATTACAAATCTGTGTAGATTAATTATTTTCGTTTTTTTAAAGTTTAATTTCCCCAGATTTAAATTAGTCAATTTGTAATGGAGAGAGAATAATTATAGCATACAAAAAGAACTCCGATCAATATTGGATCAATTTGAAAAGAAAAGGGTGGATCTTCCATTCGGTGTAGGAAACAAAAATCATAAACTTTGGAGATTTACTATGTATATAAAGTTGAAGAATTAACGAAATAATTGGCACAATAATAATAATATGAAGCATGTGGTTTAATATTCTAGTGCATATATAATTTAGTGTTAGGTTTTTAATCTTGCGTGTTGGGTTCGAAACTCCTCTTCCCTTTAATTATTGTAATAATTTCGAATCCTTCTCATCCTTATAATAATAATAAAATTAAAAAAAAAATCAAATGAAGAGAGGAATGGTTGCAATAGTGCCAGCCAACGTTTTTTTACCAGAATTTTAATTCAATTAATAAATGGATTTGAAAGGAAAGGAAAAGTTATCATGAATTTGAACAAGCATTATTTGTATTTTGAAATACTGATTTTAACAAGAATTTTAATTCAATTAATAAATGATCTTGAAGGGAAAGGAAAAGTTACCATGAATTTCAACAAGCATTATTTGTATTTTGAAAATACTCATTAAAATATATTGAGTCTAATGAAGTTCCCATATGAAGCTCATATATGATTGCAAGTTTAGTGGTGGAGCGAGAAATTTATAATGGGCTCATAAAATAGAATTTTCTAAAAATTGATCATACTTTTACTTATAATGACTAATTTTTTTTATAAAAAGAGTGCGATATTCAATAAGATGAGAAAGATACGTACACAAAAGAGGATAGGGTCCATCAATGGGCCTTGATAAAAACCTTGATGGGGCTTTCAATCCGGTTGAAGGGAAAAAGACTGTCCTGCCAATTTTTAAATTTTTTCTGCAAAAAATCCATTCCCAATCAATCAATACAAAAACCTTAAAAATCCTAATAAATCCAAGATGAGAGAAATACTGATATGATTGGGATTTTGTGATACAACCAAATGCGATAAACAGTGACTGAATGAACTTAAAACACCAAAGAAGCTTTGAATTAGGATATATATATATATATATATATATATATATATAATCTCTGATACCAAATGGGGCGGAACTAACAACAGCAGGCGGCAAAGCCGTCCATAGAATTTAAAGTGCGGAAGTAAAACATATAAAAACAGAGTAGCATATCAATATATTGAATTAAAAAGAACTCAGGTTGATTGAAAAGAAACATCCATGGATGACTGATAATAACATGAAAAGAAAGAATTAAATTAATCATAGAAGATAATTCCATGAAAATAATGAATTAAATGTAATGATGCAAATATATTTTGAAAATAAATTTTATTGAAAACTTACTGCAATGCAGATTACAAACAGATGTTGCCTAATGGCAGATGAAACAAGTAAACCAGGTGGAGCTCGCAAGCATCCTGAATAATATAGGTATTACAAGTGTTTGGAAAATAATCTCTGTCCTTTGTGGATGAGCAGAGAGATGATATTGAACTGAGCTATTGAGTTCTAAAAACTATGTTCCTCTTCTGAATATGAGTCATTCTTATAAAGAGCGAGGAGACTGAATGAGGCTTGCCAAAAAGATCCGGGAATCCCGCTGTCCTCTGAAGAAGGCTGGCAAAGCTGTGTAATCACGTTGTTTCTTCTTCAAAAGCTGAATGAATAGTGAAGATGCTTTGATTCTTTTACAAAAGTTAAATGAATAGTGACTTTTTTGTTTTTCACTGTTGATGATGCCTTTACTGTGGAATCACGTAGTTACTTTTGCAAAAGCTGGATGAACAGTGACTTTTTTGTTTTTCACTGTTGAAGAATAGTGCCTTGTCTCGTGGAAGAAATGATAGCAGCTACTGCTGATGATGTTTGGCTGGCACAATCACATGGGCAAATAATGCAGTTCAAAAATCGAACGGATCTTGTGCGTCTTGAAGGTCCACTTGATCAGCCCAATTGGTGAGAGGCTGAGGCCCTGCATCAGAAGCGTCAGAGTCCGAGTCGGAACCTTTCTTTTTCTGGAGCATTGCTGCTTCGGCCATGAGCTGTTGGGCCAAGTCCAGAAGCTGGGTAGTCTTTGAAGATTTTTCTTTCTTCGAGCTAGAGGATTTGGCTGACTTGGTTTTTCCTTTGAGGGAGGAGGATGGACTAATGTCTGATAGAGATTGAACTGGATCTTAAGCTTTCGGGAGTTCAGGAAATTGCTGAGTATCTGGCAAGGCCTGTGAAGAAGATGCATCAATTGCTGAGGTTGAACTCTGGGGAAATTCTGCTCGAACTAGATCAATAATTTTCTGGTGGTTGAATTTGTCCCACCATTTTACCCACCGGGCCCTGAAAATTCCTCCATTGTCTAACTGGAAATTCCATTTTAAGATCCATGGAACTTTGTATTTGGCCATGAATAAAGAGAATAGGGAAACCCTGCTGTCAAAACGGCTGCGGTCAAAACCGGTCTTGAAACTATTGTTTAGTGCTTGACGAAGATCATCAGGGACAAGGGAAATATTTGGGCCATGAGTAGCCCACCAGTCTGGAAACCATGCTGGGAATCTTAATCTGAAACTTTTATCAAAGGTCACGAACCATGAATGACTAAAATCTTCCGTCTGATGAAGAAAAATATTAGTCCAAGCTTGAATGTAATCATAATAATTATAATTGTTGTTTGGTATAAGAACATGCTGGGTGTGAAGGGGTTTGGTATGATAAAGGGGAAGACCCCAATCTTGCTCAATGAGAAATTTTCCAATATGAAGTGAATGGTATAAAATTTTATTTTGGTGAGTGGTGCTGTAAATTGGCTTAATAGCAATGCTTTCAGTCTCAGAGAGAATGGCTTGGTAGTATTTGAGACTTTTGTATGGTGCTGCTGGGAGATAGTGAGAATTTGGGGGCAAAAGCAGTTTAGCGATGCGTTCTGGAGGTTGATTTTTATCAATGTCAAGAGGTATGCAAAAAAGCTTTTTAGTAGTGGGGTTTTGGATATATGGAGAAGTTTTAGCATAGCTAGGTGTTTTAGGTTGCGAAGGTGTTGGAGAACGAACTGAAGAGTAAGGATCATAAGGGGTGGCTAAGGCCGTTTGGTAATTTGGTCGGATATTTCCTACTATTGATCCTAAGGGAGTAAATCTGTTTGTAATGGCGATGGCCGATGAAGAGTCGGGAATAGACTCTTGTTTTACTGGTGCTGGGGTTCCTGAAAGGGTGGCTGGGAGCCTTCGTTGCTGAGTAGGATTAGTACCCATTCTTCCCCTGTAAAAATTCTCTGGTCAGAAAATCTGGTATGCAATTCTGGCTGCCTTTGATGTATTCAATTTCAAAATCAAAAATACTTAATATGGCTTGCCAGCGTGCAAAAATCTGTTTTGATGCAATATTTTGAACATCTTTTTGTAAAACATGTTTGGCAGATTTGCAATCAACACGAACTAAAAATTTTTGATTTAATAAATCATCTTGGAATTTGGTAATACATAATACAATAGATAAAATCTCTGTTTTAATAGTACTATAGTTGCTTTGAGCTGGATTCCAAACTCCTGAATGGAAACGAACAATTTGTTCAGGAGATCCGGAAGAAGTTTTTTGTTTAAGGATACCTCCATAACCGATATCAGATGCGTCGGTTTCGACTATTTTGAGAGAGTCGGGAGTTGGAATGCCAAGGCAAGGTAAAGTCTTGACATGATTTTTTATCTGTTTGACTATGGAATTATGATTTTGAGACCATGATGGAGGATTCTCCTTGAGACGATCAAACAAAGGTTTGCATTGTTGACGAAGATGAGGATAAAATTCTGAAACATAATTGAGAGATCCAAGGAATCTTTGAAGCTGGGTTTTATCAATAATTTGATCTGGAAATTTATCAGCAAACTGGATGACTCGATCAATTGGTTGAATGGTAGACCTGTAAATATGGTAACCTAAAAATCTAACTTTGGTTTGGAATAACTTAATCTTAGATGCCGAGACGACTAACCCATTAGACCTAATGATCCTAGCAAATGCATGCAAATGCCTCCAATGCTCATCTATTGATTTTGAGAAAATTAAAACATCATCAATATAAACAATCGAAAAATGGCTGTATTGATTAAAAATCTCATTCATGATATTTTGAAATTCACTTGGTGCGTTTTTCGAGCCGAAGGGCATTACATTCCACTCATAGTGTCCGAAAGGAGTTACAAAAGCAGTATTGTACTTGTCAGATTCATGAATTTGGATTTGCCAAAAGCCTAATTTCATATCAAATTTGGAAAAAACAGTTGCTTGGGAAAGTCTCTTTATCAAATCTCTTTTGTTAGGAATTGGATATCGGATCCATTCTAAAACATCATTCAAAGGTTTGTAGTTAATAACTAATCGTGGAACGCCGCATTCTAATTCTGCATTTTTCTAGACATAAAAAGCAGGGCAAGACCATGGAGATTTGCTTTTACGGATAATTCCTTTTTCCAAAAGTTGATTAATTTCGGTTTTACAAAACTCTAAAACTTCTTGGTTCATTTGAATTGGTCGTGCTTTTGTGGGGATTTTTGAGTCAACAAAATCTTTAATATAAGATAATTTAACAATATGCTGTTTTCTATGCCAAAAAGCATTGGGGAGATCTGAACAGATTTCTTTAGTAAGCTTATTAGAAAACTGGGAAATAGAATCTAATAAAACTTTATTTGTGAGCTGTTCTTCAATTCTTTTGTGTCTAATTTCGTCTTGTAAAAATGCAATTTGCTGGGATTTTGCAGTAATCTGGTTGAGGGTTTTTGAAACATTATCTTTTTGAAGTTGTTTTAACTTTTTAAGATCTGTTTCCATGCAAAATTCAAAAGTAATTTTTTGGCCAAAAACCTTGGTAGAAATGCAGTTATGATGAACTTTGAAAGGATAGATTAATGCAATGAAAGGGAGTCCCAAAATGACTGGATCAGAAATATTCTTGATCAAAACAAATGGAGTTTTAAAACAAACATTTTGTTGACAAACGTATGCTTTGGGAATTTCATAGTTTAATTTCATTGAGGATTGATTTGCAGCGCTAAGTGTTTCCGTAGACTTGTGAAAATATTTAGTAGGTATTAACCCTTCTTGAATGCAATTTAAATCTGCACCTGAATCAATTAAAGCGATGGTTTCTAAATGAAAATCTTCGATTACTACTGTAACTTTAGAATACCATTTTCGAATTCTTATTTTGTCTAAAAGACTTAAAACAAAATCTTTTGAAGAAGAAGATTTAGTTGAGTGAGCGTCGGAATCGGAGTTTGAAGAAGAATTACCTTGTTCTTCTACGAGCGCTTGTGTACGTACTCTACTGAGATGTGAACGAATTTCAGTGTTCTCTGATTTTAAAAACTTAATTTCTGATTTGATTTGATTAATTTCTTTTTGTAAATCCTTGACGGTTAAATCCTTTTTTGGTTTATTAAATCTTTCTAAAGTAGTGCTAAGAGAAATCTTTTGAGAAGAAGTTTGGCTAGTGCTAGGTTCATGAGAAGAAATCAAATTCTTAAGTTTTTTCAAATAAAAAGATTTCAAATCAGGGTCATCGACTTTACTAATTAATTCCATTAAAAACTCTTCTTGTTCTTCTTGCTTATTAAGCACTGAAATTTTATTGCAACAAGTGTCCGTGCACCCAAACTTAATGTTTGGCGAGGAGACGTCACTAGAACTGCTAGAGTCGGAGACGGAAAAATCGGGATTTTTATCAGATTGACTAGAGTCGGTATTTCTAATTTCTAAAGCCTGAATAAGTTGAACATTTTCTTCTTCAGAGATTTTTAGTTGGTTAATAACCTTTTTAACTCTACATTCATTTGCATAATGACCAAATTTGCCACATTTGTAGCATTTTCCCTTTTTATTTTGAAAATCCTTTTTAGACTTTCGAAAAGATTTTTTGTTTGAAGATGGTTTTTCATAAAATTTATTTGTTTGAAAAGGTTTGTTGGAAGATCTTTTGCTTTTATAAAATCTGGATTGATGTTTAGAAAACTTGCTGGTTTGTTGGGCTTTTTTCTTTTTACTCGAAGGAGCAATTGGAGGTAAACCATATTGTTCACAAAATGTTCCAAGTTCGTATTTAGCAATAGATTTATCTTTATGAACTTGTTTTGAAATCTTCATGTCAATACACATTTTCAATCCTTCCTTTTGTATAACATTAACTATGTTACCATAAGTAAGGGTATCATAAGGTATGACACCTTCTTGGTTTACTAAAACATTTCGAATTTTGTGAGCAAAAAGATTTGGTAAACCATTGATAAATTTTTCTTTCCAAAAAGGTTGATTACTATCTTCCCGAAGCATAACTCTGGATATGAAAATATCTTTATACCATCTGAAATCACTTAAGGTTGGACACCTTAAATTACTCAGTTGGTCGTGAATACGTGTAGTAACGTTGCTGGGTGTTCCTATAAAGTGTTCTATAATCGTATAAAGTAAAGTATTTACTCCGTCGGGTATTCCCTGTCCTATCGTTTCGTCAAAAATGGGAAATCCTTCCTCATCTTTTTTGACCGCAAAGCGTATTTCATCTCTGGACTGAGAAGTTAAGTGCTTCTCCCACCAGGAATGAAGCATTCCAGTGAAGCCAGGGACGAGGAGATCAACGATTTGTATCTGTGTAAAATTGTGATTTGAAATATAGCTATTAGCAACCATGGACATGTGTTGAAGTTTGTTCAAAAGTTCTTGTTCTGACAA